GCTTCATTAGTCTTGAACTTAACTTAACTTTTTATAAGCTTTCCTGGTATGAGGAATTCCATCAAGAGGTCTCTTCAGTTACGCCACATCCACTGCGATTGTGACCCTAAGTGCTCTTGGTGACAACCCACACCAACTACAGCAAATACTACTCTCTGTGTTGTTGTAGCATCTGTGATAAAAATGAATAAAATATGAAACACTCATAGTACATTTATCTGAAGCCTTTCCTTTTAAATTAGGAACTACTGAAATGGATTAGATGGGTTTGGTCTTCTTAGCGCTTCCCATCAAAAGCAGGCTTTCCACGTGAGGCCTGAGGGTCCATCACTCACAGCCCACATGTATCAGCTAAGCTCATGACTTACGTTATCAATTTAGTCACAGTGTGATTATTTAAATTATATTTGATGACGGCTCCGTATTGGCAAGAATACAAAGGTCGACTACTACTATTATACTTTAGCCAAGTATCAGCAAAGGCCTGAAACGACCGTTACCGTTCCTCTCATCTCCCTCACGCTGCACGTCAATTTATATGGTGAGAAATTTTTAAGGAAATAAAAGCGGGGCAAAAGAAATTAGGAGTGTCGTGGGAGGCGACTGGGATCTGTGAGCATGATTTATGGCATTTTGCTCTTTAAGTTAAGGATGGCAGAGGCCGTTCCGTCAGCAAACAATTCAATCACAGAGCCCTTCAGTCCGGACCCTTTGCAGAAGTAATTACCAACCCACCCTGAAGCACACATCCATCTTAAGGCTTTAAAAAGCCACTCATTCTTCATTTATGGAAATCAGCGGCTGCTTCCTTCTCAGTCATATGGTCGGCATCTAAAAATACCTCAGGGGTCATTTGCCATGCTTATTGCAATCAATAAGGATCCATTCCAACAAGGACACATTTTTCGCTTCATTTTTTGGTGCTACGGAGAGATATGTTGAGGTAATAAAGGCACATATGAGGGCGCATATCACTTTTAAACATGCACTTGTATCGGTTTCAAAGTGCTTGCCTGTTCAGTATCATTCACAGCCTGGTTACTGGCTGACAAGCCACAAATCAGTTCTTATATTATTTTATTAACTGAGCAAATAGTGGTAACACACTTAATATGGCAATGCTTAATGTTGGCAATGTTATGGCAATTACGTTATGCAGAAATAATTTAACAAGATCTTGGACAAATAAAGTTGGTTAAAAAATATCTGCAGTACAGTATTTGCTCATTACCATGATAAAACTGAAATTGAAAAAAAAAATGATATTATGATTAGAAATGTCCAAACATTCAAAATTTTGGGGTCAGTAAGATTTTTTTAAATGTATTTGAACACCTCTTATGCGCACCAAAGCTGCATTTATTTAAATAGAAAATGATTTATTCAAATAGAATATATTTTAAATTCTAATATATTCCTGTGGTGACAAAGCTGAATTGTCAGCAGTCATTAGCAGACATCCAGTCTTCAATGTCACATGATCTTTCAGAAATCATTCTAATATGCTGATTTGGTGCTCAAGAAACATTTCTTATTATTATCAATGTTGAAAACAGTTGAGCTGCTTAATATTTTTGTGGAAACTGTGATGCATTTTTTTGGTCGTGATTCTTTTATGAATATACGTTCAAAAGAACAGTATTTATTTCTTTTGTAACATTATAAATGTCTGAACGGTCACTTCTGATCAATGTAATGCGTCCTTGCTGAATAAAAGTATTAATTTACTTACCAAAAAAATGTAAACAATTTCTTTCACCGGTGATAACATCCGCAGAACAAACCACTAATGTCTGATCACATCTCATTGTAGCACACACTAATGGAATGAAAACTCTAAGTCAATTGGATATCCATCCTCTGCAATAAATACACACCTGCCACAAGGGACCAATTCAGCCAGGACAAAAACTCCCCAACGTCCACACCATAAATGACACCTACTCAGAGGTTATCCTTAGAGCTAACCTCAGCCTGTCCCAGTCCCCTTGTGCAAGAAACAAATGCCCTAGTCTTGTTCTGCTTTCGGACAGTGTGTATTGGGCTCCCTGCAGGAGTGTGTGATCTCTTAGGAATTTGTTTCTAAACACCGTTCTCTGTCCAGAGTCCCCAGGGAAGAGACTGCTAAGCCCAGCTGTGTGGAAAGAGCTGTGTTTAGCATACAGCACTGCATCACATCTCACAATACTGAGCAACACCTACTTTCAACTAATTCTTAAAATGTTATACTTGAAACATACTAAACTGAGCCTTCTATGCATTGAACTTGCATCTGATATGCACAATTAAGAAAAAAACAAAGAAATGAATTATAGGATGTGATTAAGTAATAAAATGATTCATATATTGATTTAGCTGGGGAAAAAAACCCTCAAATGAAACCATTTCGAAGACATCATTGTGGAAGATGGGTAAAGCAGTTAATATACACTTTCAAAAAAAAGTAGTAGTAGTAGTAGCAGTAGCATATGGGTCAAGAAGAACATATTTCAAATGCATTCTTGAATTTTTTAATTAATATTAATATTATGCATTAAAATATGTATTAAAATAAAATATAACCTTGAACCTTTCCATTACCAGACCGGATTATTAACTAGACTACATTAACAAAGAACATCACTCACTGCTTTTGACCCTGAATCACTTTTGTATTTTTAAAGAATTATTTCAAATTTGATCCATTCAATGAGGGCTATTCAGTGTTTTAGTTATATACTAGATTTTTCGATTTCTGTAGTATGTCTTACTACATGTTAAGTTTATTTAATTTATATTTTAATAAGTAAATTAAACAAAAATAGCTATATAGAGAATGTTTCATACAGTGAAATAAAAAGACTTTGGTCATATCGCCCACCCCAGCTCTGATGTTCTTGAATAACCCACATATCCTTATATCATACTGACACATTAAAATTGTGACTCTGAAGAAGTTGCGAGTAACTGGAGTAATCCCATACGTAGGAGGTCGGTCTGTGGAAGCCATATTTATCTATTCAGCAAAAGGGCCTTTAAGAGGGGAATTACCATTTGAATTCCCAAACGTCTGCTACTCTCCTCCCTGTTAAACATCAATAACCCAGTGGCTGGTGTGTCTTTTAATACGTGTTGGTGTTCTAGAAGCTGTCAGAATCTATGTGGCGCTGCAGCTCTGATCAGAAACTCAGGGGTGGTGTGGTCTCCAGCAGAGATGAATATTTGATATTTCTCTTGATTAAAGGCCTAACAATTTAAATTATACAGTAGACAAGTTCCCCAGAGCATGCCCAAGAACCATGGCATGTTGCATGAATTATTTACCTGTCATTTAACTCCAAAATGCCATATCTACTTACAGGGTAGCTGACCTTTGACCTCCCTGTGCTTAAGCAAAATTTAGAGCTGCCTGGTCAGGTAGAAGCACTTATGCATTGAAATAGAACAAAAAGATGTATGCAGCCTGCTTGACCAGCATATGTTGCTGGTACTAAACATTGTATGCTGGTGTCCCCATGAGGGTTTAGAACTAGCTTAACCAGCAAGATAACTTTGGTCAACTAGCTTAAAAACAGCAAAGCTATGCTGATCCCCCAGCTGGATAAGTACAAAATTAACACAAACCAGCTCAAACCTTAAATGTTGTTATTTTCAGCAGAGAGAATTTACATTTGTAAGGGACTAACAGCTGAAATGACTAATGCCTGGGAATGAAAAAGCTTAAAGGGGTCATATGATGCAATTTCAAATTTTCCTTTCTCTTTGGAGTGTTACAAGTTCGTGCATAGATAAAATCCTTAAAGTTGCAAAGACTAAACTCTCAAACCCAAAGAGATATTCTTTATAAAAGTTAAGTTAAGACTGGTCCACACCCTCCTAAAACGCCTCGTTTAAACACGCCCCCACATGTCTACGTCATTGTGTGATACACCGCCCAAATGTTCACGCAAAGAAAGGTGGCGTAACTTTTATTCTCGCTGTAGTATTGTTGTTGCCGCCGCCACCTCCACCGCCGCCATGTCGTGGAGATGCTGTATGTTTCGTTGTGAAAGCGAAACTACTTTGTTTGGCCTTCCAAAAGAGAACGATATCCACGTTGTCATGCCTAGAGCTGATCCGTGCTGGTCGCTGAGGAAATACATCAACTTCGCGCTGTGGATCGCTGGATCGGCTTTCACTGTGGACGAAGCGGAGTCCAGCCTGGGGTCGTCACATGTGGTTGCTGCAAGCCCGCTGGACGCTCCTTCATCAAATCCGCCGTCCGCGCCATTCTCAAGCCCACCGGCCGTTCCTCACTCAAGCCCGCCGTGTGTGACGCTGTGTGTTTCGTTGTGAAAGCAAAATTACTTTGTTTGGCCTTCCAAAAGAGGACACAACTAGAAATCAGTGGTTAAGTTGTATACACTTTTCCAAAACAGTTCAACCCAAATATTCAGATGTGTGCAGCGCATTTTATGGAGGACTGTTTCCTGAACCTGCAGAGTAGATGCAACAAATGTCTTGTTTGTAATGGGTTTTATTGGTGTTGTCTCATCGTGCCGGGACACTGCATCACAGTATGGTAAGGGACTTAACATTTTGTCACACGCTTGAGGTATTCAGCCAATCACAATGCACTGGATAGCTGGCCAATCAGAGTACACCTCGCTTTTCAGACCGATGAGCTTTGTAAAAATCGACGCGTTTCAGAAAGGCGGGGCATAGAGGAGAAACAATAATGTACAGTATGTGGAAAATAATGTGTTTTTTTAACCTTAAACTGCATAAACACATTGCATTACACCAAATACACAACTTAATGTTCTTTTTAGCAACGTCATATGACCCTTTTAATAGATGCCATTTAGTGTCAAGACATTTGCACAACATGCAAATGCACAAGATGAAAAAGCAATCTTGTCATTTGTAAGCACTTGAAATGAGCTCATTTATGCACAAACACACATTGTTCCACTTACAGGCTATTTCAGTTTCCTTTCCATTTAAAGCAGTGCTATAGAGAATAAAGTCAGTGCCCTTACCCCTGATGGTAGGCTGTGGTTCCTGCAGCAGGTGTTTGAACGGGAGCAGGTCTGATAGGTGTTTTGTGAAGTGTTTCCATGGCTGCATTGGGCCTCAGAGCACTGCAGATTTTTGGAATTCTGAGCCTCCTAAATCCTGATTTAGAAACACAAGGTCAGAGTCCTCCAGCTTACAAATATAAATTGGGGTGCGTGTTTGAGTTCGAAAGCCTGCTGAAACTAGAATCGTGAAAGTAATAACATACCTAGAGGGCATATCCAGAAGGGAAAGAAATGTGTTGAACCTTTGAGCTCTGTAGCACTAATGACTAAAGTGAAAGGCTTGGCAATCAAGTGAGAATCATTGTTTTTCAGAACACCGCTGGAGATTTGTCTTCCTTTCTGGGCATCGTGTTCTTGCGCATGCACGTTGTTACTTGCTCAATGTTTTCTTTCAGCGCTTGAACGAAACCCCAATTTGCAAGCTTGTAGTCAAAGTTGAATGGCATAGAATAAAAGAGTGTGTTGCACAACATTCGTATAAAACGTCTTTCTATTTATCTGTCCTCGCGTAACGCACGCAAAAATAAATAAATGCAAACACATGGAGTCGATACAAACAAACCAAGTGGCGTAGTCTCATTCACGACCAAATGATTCGCATGAATGATTCCTCAAAACATTCCGAAAACAAAGACGTTTTTTTTTTCAGGGAATCAGAAAACATATAGCCTACCCCAAATATCTTGATCTGGTATTCATTTAGTGAATCAAAAAAATTCCGCCCAAGTTTATTCCCATTCACAAACAAATAACTTTTATGAATCGGATCTCTTTTTAATTTTAAATTTTTTCAGGTTTCGTCCTCCATGCGAAAGGTACTGGTTTAAAACTTAGTCTTGAAGATTCCTTCACTGAATTAATATTGTTCATGTTTAATACTACATAAAGTCCCAAAAGGTTTAGTTATGTAAATAATACAATAAAATAAAAAACACTTTAAAAAATGCCAGCAATGACGCACATTACCCAAACCCCTCCAAAGAGTTATGTCAATTTTAGAAAATATACTTCTATTTTTGTTGTTTCATTGATATTTGATAAGACATTTCCCTGGCTGTGACTGAAATTAGGCCACTCTATCATAATACTTCTGGTATAAAGGAAAGATCCTTGTAGATTACATTATTTATTTTGAACAAAAATCTGTATAACTAGGTTAATTATATTCATTAGTCGATGTAACTCCCTATGCTTATGAAAAATAAAAACAAAAATCTGTGGCTGTATAACATGAAAACATTAGAAATGTGTGTTCCTTCTTTTCTTTTCTTTCACATTTGAAGAACAAATTATAGATGGGTTGAGTTTGTAACATATATTAGAAACACTACAATATTAGAAATATTAAATATTGCACATTTTTGTGTATTAGTACCAGAGCACATGGCAACCTGATGGACATTTTTATTGATTGCAACGGATGTTTCAGACTTTTTTTTTTAACTTCTCTGGGAAAATTACCAGGGAAAAAAAATGACATACTGACTGACATGTGAAACAAGAACTGAAATGAAAAACAGATAAAAACTGAAAGAAGTACCATGATTAATAAGGCTTTGTTCAGTTATAATTCCTCTATCTTTCCCCTACACAGTTATTGAAATATACAGTAATTCATTCGCTATGTTCAATTAATATGCCACACATAGCAGTTTCATAATAAATTATGTTCCAGTGCAAAACAGGTTGAGTGAGCTCTACATTTTGGCCTAAAGCAGGCCAGGACATCTCTGCTGATGATGCATGTTTGATGTTTTCTGCTAATTTGTAACAAATGCGTTCCGTGTTTTGACTTAAACTCGCTCTCCTAAAGGGGTTCTGTCAGTAAACAGATTCATAAATTACCAGCATTATTAATACGATCGTTTCTCTCTATTCCAAATGTGCATCCAAATCTTACAGAAGTCCATGATGTGAACTGTCAGCAGTTTTGGTAGGCCAGAGTTTGCCGGCAAGTGAGGCATATTCAGACTGATTTCCAAGAGCTTATATGGCTAATGTATAATTGTGGACCTAATCATATTCATAGGTGAACCGCTCCACTCAATCGCACCAGAAGTTCAACCTAAGTAAAAGGACACTTGGACACATTAAATAATGCATGAACTGAAAAGTTCTGCCTACATCTGTGGTGTGTAGATATAGGCCTACAGTATGTCTGTCTGAATGTGTAATACTCTTCCTTTAAGTCCAGTTTAGGAGTGACGGATGGCTTTATGGCTGTGGTAATTACCCAGCTGGTTAGAGTAATTAATGAGTCTGTGTATATCCTGTGTCTGCAGTTGGCCACCCCTGAATGCTGAACAAGATTAGCTTAAGTATATATGCATTGGTGTAGATAAGAAATCTGGCTGGAATCTATAGCATTCATTTCTAAGAACAACAGCAAATTCACATACAGGCTTTAAATTGACCTTGGACCAGGCAGATATTCTCAACCTTGGGGTTTAATAGTAAATAAAGATTCTCAACCTTGACATATATCCACACCCCTGCACCCCTGGAGGATTTTTGGTTTGTCACAAAAGGTTAATATTCAAAAGTGTCAGTGAGCACCCTAAAACTGCTGGTTTGCTAACACTTATTTGTGAAAAGCAGGATTCTCTGCTTGTTTTTGCATCAAGCTCAAATACTGATTCATATTGGATATAACAGTGGAGATGAAATGCAGTTTAAACTCTAATGTTAGACTTTGACAAGCTGCATCTTGATACACAAGTCCAACACTATTATTAGACACTAAGGATGAGAGCTAATAAAGAGATGCCCAAAATTATTTGTTAAAGGGTTAGTTCACCCAAAAATGAAAATTCTATCATTAATTATTCACCCTCATGTCTTTCCAAACCCGCAAGACCTTCGTTCATCTTCAGAACATAAATTAAGATATTTTTGATGAAATCCGAGAGCTCTCTGACCCTGCATAGACAGCAACGCAACTACCACGTTCAAGGCCCAGAAAGGTAGTAAGGACATCGTTAAAATAGTCCATGTGACATCAGTGGTTCAACCGTAATTTTATGAAGCTATGAAAATACTTTTTGTGCACAAAGAAAACAAAAAGAACAACTTCATTCAACAATTTCTTCTCTTCCGTGTCAGTCTTCGACACACATTCACAAGAGTTCCAAGTTGCATGCATGTGGCAATGCTGGCGCAGAAGCCGGTGTTCTGACGCACGCTGTACATAAAACATCCCTAATCATGTCTGAAGATTTCGACAGAGAGGATGACTTTAAATTTTTTGCCAAGCCTTACTTATTTGAACCAGAACATACAGACAATGAACTAAGAGAGAATGATGTTCTACGGCAGAACACCGGCTCCTGCGTCAGCAGCACCACACACATGCGTCTTGGTACTCTTGTAAACACGTGTCAAAGACTGACACGGAAGAGAAGAAATTGTTGAAGAAAGTTGTTCTTTTTGTTTTCTTTGCAAACAAAAAGTATTCTTGTAGCTTCATAATATTACTGTTGAACCACTGACTACTGACTATTTTAACGATGTCCTTAACTATACCTTTCTGGGCCTTGAACGTGTCAGTTGCACTGCTGTCTATGGAGGGTCAGAAAGCTCTCGGATTTCATCAAAAACATCTTAATTTGTGTTCCTAATATTAACAAAGGTCTTATGGGTTTGGAATGACATGAGGGTGAGCAATTAATGGCAGAATTTTCATTTTTGGGTGAACTATCACTTTGAATTTCTTGGTTTGCACAGTCAGAAAAAAAATGACTAAATAGCAAAATAAAATGATTCAAAAAAGGTTGAGGATCCCGGCATACAGAACAATTCAATAAAACATCCTGCAAAATAAAAAGATTTCATGTACTGTATATGAGACTTAGAAAGAGTTATTCTGGTCTATTCTCATTGCTGTTGATGTCAGTAGAAATGATTCACGTTCTTCTAAAGAAAGTGATAGTAGTTGGGAAAACTGCAGTCATTTCATCACATTAAGTCTGTGCATTAGTCAACTATACTGGCTATATAGTGTTTAACAATACAGGTTGTCTAAATCATTTCCAGTGGCTAGGAATTATGTTTCAAGTGCAAATAAAGAGACCTCACAAATAACCAAAATTCAAAAGGGGAGACCCATCCTCTTCTGGCTGGCCTGGTGGAATAAATAGCCTATTGAAAGGATAGAGTGCCATTGTAGTTACAAAAAGAGGGCACTTCTTCCACAGCTTAGTCCATTTGTCTGCAGTCCATTCTGTCCACTTCTGAATAGGTGGGTAGTGCGTATAGTGATATGGAGCCACGTCACTGCATTTCCAGCACAGACAGGTCCTATTCACTTCAGTCCGATGAGGTTAGGAGGTTTAAGCTTTGTTTAAGACCCAAAATGAACATTCTGTCATCATTTAGTCCCTTGTGTCCTTCCAAACCTCTATGATTTTCTTTCTTCAGTGGAACACAAAGAAAGATTTTTCATTCACCAGAAGTTCAACCTAAGTAAAAGGACACTTGGACACATTAAATAATGCATGAACTGAAAAGTTCTGCCTACATCTGTGGTGTGTAGATATAGGCCTACAGTATGTCTGTCTGAATGTGTAATACTCTTCCTTTAAGTCCAGTTTAGGAGTGACGGATGGCTTTATGGCTGTGGTAATTACCCAGCTGGTTAGAGTAATTAATGAGTCTGTGTATATCCTGTGTCTGCAGTTGGCCACCCCTGAATGCTGAACAAGATTAGCTTAAGTATATATGCATTGGTGTAGATAAGAAATCTGGCTGGAATCTATAGCATTCATTTCTAAGAACAACAGCAAATTCACATACAGGCTTTAAATTGACCTTGGACCAGGCAGATATTCTCAACCTTGGGGTTTAATAGTAAATAAAGATTCTCAACCTTGACATATATCCACACCCCTGCACCCCTGGAGGATTTTTGGTTTGTCACAAAAGGTTAATATTCAAAAGTGTCAGTGAGCACCCTAAAACTGCTGGTTTGCTAACACTTATTTGTGAAAAGCAGGATTCTCTGCTTGTTTTTGCATCAAGCTCAAATACTGATTCATATTGGATATAACAGTGGAGATGAAATGCAGTTTAAACTCTAATGTTAGACTTTGACAAGCTGCATCTTGATACACAAGTCCAACACTATTATTAGACACTAAGGATGAGAGCTAATAAAGAGATGCCCAAAATTATTTGTTAAAGGGTTAGTTCACCCAAAAATGAAAATTCTATCATTAATTATTCACCCTCATGTCTTTCCAAACCCGCAAGACCTTCGTTCATCTTCAGAACATAAATTAAGATATTTTTGATGAAATCCGAGAGCTCTCTGACCCTGCATAGACAGCAACGCAACTACCACGTTCAAGGCCCAGAAAGGTAGTAAGGACATCGTTAAAATAGTCCATGTGACATCAGTGGTTCAACCGTAATTTTATGAAGCTATGAAAATACTTTTTGTGCACAAAGAAAACAAAAAGAACAACTTCATTCAACAATTTCTTCTCTTCCGTGTCAGTCTTCGACACACATTCACAAGAGTTCCAAGTTGCATGCATGTGGCAATGCTGGCGCAGAAGCCGGTGTTCTGACGCACGC